GTGTGTGTGTGTGTGCGCGTGTGCGCGCGCGACTGTGTATTTAATGATGACAGTGTGTATGTGTGACATGCATATGAGTTTGTGTGTGTCTGTATGTGTGTGCTGACCCAGAATGGGGGAGGGGAAAGATGAGAAGAAGTGAGCTGGGGTTGGGCGGAGGGGGCCCTGTGTGGTTCAGTGCATATATGTGTGTGTGTGTGTGTGTGTGTGTGTGTGTGTGTGTGTGTGTGTGTGTGTGTGTGTGTGTGTGCATGTGAGTGAGTGTGCCTCCTTTGTGAGATAAAAAATGCAAATGGTGGATTATTTTAATGCAGTTTTTTTTCTACAAACCCAAGCCTTAATCCCTAAAGCAGTTAAAATGAAAATAGTATGTTTTTTTTTTCTTTCAAAGTCTCACTCATTCACTTTCAGTTTTTTTTTAAATGTATTTATGTATTTATTTATTTATTTTTATGTGCCTCGGTTGTAATTAACAAGTTGTCTAGGAACAAAATCCTCAGCAGTATAATTCCATTTTGGTATATTTACAGCTAAACACTGACAAACAGAAAATGATGACCAAACCTTCAGCAATGCTCTTCACTTCTCTCAGTGGATTTTGTGTTTTGCACACACACGAAAAATAAAGACAACAGTAGATAAATCCAAGAAAATAAAGTACATGCCGTTCTTGAGACTCAATGCAGTCTAAAGACAATCAGTACAGCAATTATAAACACAGGTGAAGTATTTTTCGGCGATATTTTAGCTCGGGTAAAACTGTTTACTTTCTTTCAAGATGGGAGGATGCCGACTGAATTTTCTCATGGTTTTTGGCCTTGGCTGACATCGGAGTGATTCTTTTTCAGGAACAAATGGTGGCCCCCTCTACTGCCTCATACACTGTTTACCTATTCCTCCCTTATATGATTGAGACTGCATGAGTATTTAGTGATTTGACAAGTAATAAGCAAGGCTGACACCAGCACAGAATGAAGCATAATAAGTGCACTCAAGCACGCGCTGCTAATAGATGAAAGTAACAGATGGCGGCATTTATGAACAATTGCAGAGGGGATGTTTATATACTGAAGGTTATCTATCACTTCTTTGCAGTTGACCGTGATAATTTGAAATCCACATCAGATCGTGGTGGGATTCATAAAGTCACACATGGTTCCGTATTTCTGAGTGATAGCATCACTGTCACGATACAGCGATAAACATATGTAGACCGTAGCGTGATAGCCAATGAAAAAGAGAACACTTGTGTAAACAGATTCTTTTTTTTTTTCCCCCACACAAAGCATACACAACCAAAAAAATCACTTTCGACAATACAACGGCATGCTCGTGTGGCCAGTTAACATTTTTACCGCATTGCAAATGTAAATCAATTAGTGTATGTTTATAGATTTCCATCATTCCAAACCATATGAAGAAGTCAACAATAATGGGTTTATTCAACGATTGTTGAAGTGACTGTGATGAGGACTTTGGTCACAAGAAAATGCTTCCAATATATTTTTTTATTACATATGACAATTTGAAATGTTGTAAGATTTTAGCAAGCATCAATCATGGAAGTTGACATGTTTGATTTGCTTTCGCGGGCCACATAAAATGATGTGGCGGGCCAGATCTGGCCCCCGGGCCTTGAGTTTGACACCAGTGTATTAAACAGTCGATAACTTCAGATTTTGCACAAATGTTGCCACATCCTTTTTCCTAATTGACATCTGGAAATGTGTTGGATGGTGATATTAGTCGAAAGATCATTCCACAGTGATGATAAATGTCTTCCTACGTCTTCCTTGAATGAACCATCAATGTTGTTGTGCTTGTTTCCTTGAAGTCTCCTGCTTGACTGTGAGCAGATGGCGGTTTGCGCAGCGGTGGTGGTGGGGAGGGTGAAAGCTTGTACACGCTTGTCTCCTTGGCGTTAGGGACAGTGAGCATAATTGAGTAAATGTATTTAAGTATTTCAGCAGGCTGATTCAGCCTCCCTGGGATGGTTGATATTGTACTTAGGATGAATATTGCCCGAGGCTGTTCATTAGTGGTAAATAATTGAGAGGCCCGGATAGTGCTAAGGTGAAATGCTTGTTATTATTTTATTCCGTTTGTGTTCTTCTGGCTCTTCAGTTTAAGGATATGAAAAATGCACACGTCTTCCCGCAAATGACTCACTCCAACGTTTGTTTCACTAATAACTAGCAATTCCTCTTTGGGGTTTTTCAACCTATAGTGACTTCATCAATTTTCGATCCGCGTTTGATTATGTTATTTTTTAACAATTGTATTTGACTTGGGTGCTTTTCCCATTTAGTGTTAAAACCTTTGGTGTAACTCCAGTGTGGAGATGGTTGTGTCCTGTCTGCGCGCTCTTTTGTGTAGGAGTGGAATGCAACTGGCAAGAAACGTGCCATTATGGCGCTATATTAATAACAAGGCTTTATGTTATGCACGGTGTGTTACACCAGACGTCGTTGGATATCTCACTGGCAAAAAAAAATATTGTACACTTCATCTGTCCCGATGCCAGCACTTAGCGCTACCCTTTTAAAATGGCCGCCGCTTTTCTGGTCATACAATTTTTAATTCCAGTGATCTAAGACAGTTAGTTTTTCGATCGCATTTGGTGGTTGTAATTTTGGTTGGATAAAAGCACGTTTTTGTGAATACTGGGGCTTGTTTTAGGTTAGTAATGTCTGCTTTCGGGCTGGTTTTAGCTAATTGAAGGCTAGTTTTTGTAAACAATGTTTTTAGGGTGGTTAGTTTGAGCAAGTTTTAGGCCTGTTTGTGGAATTGTAAACATTTGGAAGGCTTGGAGCTATTTGTAGAAGACTTTTTGTCTACTTGTAATCAACCATTTGGCGAGGTTTTAGCTGCCCAGTGCTTATTTTTGGGGTAGCCTTTGGCTCTGAGGCTGCCGACCGTCCAAGGATTTGTCAGCAGTACTATTTACAGCTCAAAGATTAAAATTACCTTCACCAACAGATGTTAATCATGACTTATATTTGTTCAATGGGTTTCATCAAAGAAGACCATGTGTATTTCACGAAAGGAATGTCCTAGAACCATGTACACAATAGCCCAACTTTGGACAGTTCACTTTGGCCATATCCTGTTTACCTTTAGCAGCCTTACAATAACAATGGTCAGGTGCACTCCCGCTTCCCCGAGAATGGCAGTTTAATCTGATTGCACAAGACGATGACTGAAGTTGTTCAAATACAGTTGTTGCTGCGGGCGGCACGCTGACTTCACTCAGTGCTCCGCGATACACCTTTAGTCTCCACGGTCTTGGCTCAGTGCCGCTGCCTTGTTGGGTTTTGGGTGTCTGCTTGCCAGTGTGAGGAGGGGCGGGGGGGGGGCGGGTATTTTTAACGGATGGGATGTCAGCTCATTAACCTCCATTCTCCACCCAGCCCCCAGCCCCCAAGGTGGAACCAGTGTGTCGTCTCATGCCATTACTCCTCCCCTGCACGTGTGCGTTGGGCACGAGGGGTGTAAAGGATGTGGAGGATTCGGGAGGCTTGCGTGTGTGGGCGCGTTGGTGTTGTTTGGCATGACATGTTCCTTTAACAAATGCCCTGCCTGTACCTTGCAAACTAAAGGCCCACCGTGTCATTTCCTTCCCCACTTTTGTCTTCTCGCTTTCTTTCCTCTCCCTGCTGTGTTCTTTCTGTCTCACTCTGTCTCTCTATCTCAAACCACAGGCCCGATACAGTGTGGGTGAGCGAGGGGTCAGGCTCCACTCTGCCCCCCCTCCAGGCATCAGTCCAGCTAGGAAAAGACTACCCACTGCTGTGGTGAGATACATTAGCCTAGCCCCACTCAATGAAAAGCTCTCCTGTATGTGCTGCCCAGTTGTTTGGAGACCTTTGACCCCGCAACACTGACTTAAAGGCCCTAAAGTGATGATGTCAAGTTGTACTGAAAATAGCTGACAAAGACCTTTCTAACATCCATCCATCCATTTTCTGATCCGCTTTATCCTCACAAGGGTCGCGGGCGTGTTGGAGCCTGTACCAGCTGTCATCGGGCATCTCGAGGTGTTAATGCACTGATTATCTCTGTAATGAATCATAGACCCAGAAATGTATTTTACTCTGACATAGGATGAGTAATATAATCAAAGTAGATTAACTAACCATTATTTAATAATTGATTCATAAGTTGATAATTTTCTTGACTAATCGATTGAATTCATCATCCATATTGCAATATGGACAAATTGTGTTTGATGTTATTGTTGAGAGAGAGAGAGAGCGCTAAGTTTCTTGTTTTGTCAAGTGCAAAACAAGCAAGGGAGGCTTATGGAAGCAGATGAGTGTTCCTCTTGCGCTTGTAATCATTTGTCGTTGTCACGACCACAACTGTCAAACTCTTTCTGGCTTCTTTCCTATTCTGTGCAGAGGCAGCGAGCAGTAGATTGCAATGAGATAAGCAATTATATGATGGAGGAAACCAGACTCCCCCCCCCACAGCTGCAGTTAGTTATCCGATGCTGTGGTTCACTGAGTCAAAGGGTTTGGGGTAATGTGACATTCACTCTGCCCTTTATCTCCTCTTCATCGCTGTTTACCTCAGTTAGTGCCTTGTGAGCTGCATCCTCTCCTGAGAAACCTCAACAGCATACTGTAATGTATGGGTGCACATCCTCACACACTTAGAGACACACAAGCACACACACACACATTCTCACCTCAGAATGTTTAACTGCCAGGCAGACTGGTGGGATAACTACTGATTCCTAGTGGCACCCATGAAGTTAAATATAGCACAATCCTGCACCTGCTGACCCCAGCTCATTCCATGTGATGCTGGCGCACTTGAAGCTGTTCAGGTGTTTCGGCTGGTTAGCATGTGGTCATTGATTATCCACCTGTGTGGATAGCACTTTGTGCAGTCTTGTTTTTTCTTTTCTTTTGTATCTTTGAAGCACACATTATATCTCATGGCCAGATGGACAGAGGTAACAATGTGGTTGCAACAGAGAGTTCAATAGTCAGCGGGGAATTTGCCCAAAGCTTCAATTCACACTTAAAAGGGAGTGGGGGGGGATGCCAAATGCCTAAATTGTTTCAGTGACACATGGACTAAAAACACAGCTGACTGACGCGATAAGCTAATATCTGCTTTGTTTGTGAATGGATAATCTGACCGACACCAATCCTAAATACAAACCTAATCTTTCAAATTTCAACATTTGACTGAAAAAAATTCATCGAGGGAGGATGTACTGGCAGAGTATGTCCAGGTTGTGATAAATGCCAATCTTTCTTTTCTTTTAAAACAATACTCTAAAGTGGCCATTTATACTGCCATTGTCGAGTGGTGTGATTATTTCAGTCAAGTCAGTCAAAACATTGATTTGGAAATATGTATTTGGGTGGGTACTATTGCATCTCCAACTTGGAATTGGGAAATGTCAAATTTCCTGGGTCTCGAATATCTAAATAAAATATATATATAAAAAAAAAAACAGCACTCACATTATGTATGCATTTTTTATATATATATATATATAGAGAGAGAGAGCGAGAGAGAGAGAGAGAGCGAGAGAGAGAGAGAGAGCGAGAGAGAGAGAGAGAGCGAGAGAGAGAGAGAGAGAGAGAGAGAGACACGTGGTTACTGTTTTGTGTTGGGTTTCAGGAAAAAGTGAGGAATTCATTTCATTTTTGGCCCATGTTGAGATGTCAAGTGCTGTTAAAAACAGAAAATTGTCTTCCAGCCAAGGGACGAATGTGCAAAACAACAACAAAAGATGAAGTAACTTGAACTAAAATATGTCTGATGTTCGTGCATGATTTTGTACAAGCGCTGCACGCCAGTGTGCCATCACAAGATAAGAGGTGGGATCGTGATCTTTGGTCACCATGACAACCATAGGGATCCTATTTTATCCGAGCATGTGTGCATTGCATTGATTTGAAACTGAGGGTAAAATAAATATTGATGCATCATTCTCAGCTGGTATTTTGGTAAGCAATCAAAGTCTCAATGGGTAATTCTTGTAATTATTCATGTGGCACAATAATGACTCCATTCTTTCCTTTTTCATTAAGTCCCTGCATTTGAAATTAAAGTTGTGTCAGACATTTATGTATTTATTTATTTATATTTTGGGGGTAGTGGGGTGGGGGTGGGTGGTATAAAATGAAAGAGCCTGTCTTTTTTTGAAGCTCTGAATTGCACTGCAAAGGTTTGAGGTCCTGTCAGTGATGTGATTTCAGTTCTGATGAGAGCTCATTTGCTCACTGAAGCAGAGTTCACAGTGGAAAGAAAAGTGTTCTCCTCGCTTTCTAACACAAGCAGATCTGCAGTTGGAAATTTGATGCGTTTGTGGCTGCCTCTTTGCAACAGAAAGCGGATGAATGAGCGCTGCAACCATCTTTATTTTTAAATTGCTGGTGTCGGAAGTGGTTGAAACCCGTATACTGTTTTTGTGGGTGTTAAATGTTTTTCCCCAGCTCCTGATGTAGGGGGGGGGGGTCTGCTGTTTTTGTGAGTGACATGTCACTTGAGGAGCTTTCAGGACATTCCAAATTTAGACTTGGTCTGTTTTATTTTGTTGTTGCTTTTTTTTTTTTTTGCATCGCTCAGTAAATCATCTTGTCCCCATATTTGATCAAGTTCGGAATGCTGTTGATGAAACGATCTGCCCACATCAACATGGTGTGTCTTTTTGCATAGGAAAATGAAGCTGGCGACAGTGAATCCATTGACAAGACGTACGGTACGGCCTTTGCTGTGCGCGAGTCAGGTCCAACTGTAGTGGAGTGTGGGTGTGTTTTCGGTGTGTGTGTGGCATGCTGTCACACCCAGGAAGAGGCCCTGTTTCGACCCATCTGAAATTTGCAAGATAAACAATCAAATACACATTCATCGTTACATTACAATGTCGTGTGTGCGCGTGCACGCGCATTCCTGAATGTTTTTGCCACCTTCATTGTTTGCCGGTGGTGTGGTGGCAGAATTGGAACTGTAGTCCTTGTCTTGCAACTTGCTGTCTTTTTTTTTTTTTTTTTTGCATCCTCTCCTCTTGTGTG